GTCATAAGCTCACCTCTTCTCCATGTGCCACGATGAGATCTCACCAAATAGAAGGCATTCTTAACATTCTTTGAGAAACTTGTGTAAAGACTCGCAGCCAAACGTGCGTTTGGAGTTAACTCGGGTCGAGGCTTAGTTCTGGAATAAAAAGTTTGATTTATGAGGCGTTTTTGTTTTATTTAGTAATTTACCGATGCTAGGCAAGTCCCTGCCCCTCACAATGTTTGTCCGATAACAGATTAAAACCCAGTATCTTAAAGTTTACACTTTGATAAAACTGTTGACTAGCGAAAAAGCCTCAATCTTGATGGCAATGGAGTACTGACAATGTCTATTTCCACTGGCAGCAAAACAAACCCTCCTCACCACTCCTCCACTTCCATGCTTGCCAGTTGATTTTTGATTCGTTTCACAAAATATGGTACCGTGCATTATCATTATGGCTTCGCTTTTGTCTGGTCTGTCCAAAGCACAATATTTCATAAGTCTTTTGATTGGTTAACAGGCAGCTTTGCAGACCGAAGCCATTCTGCCAGGCAAAGAGGTTTTTTTTTCTCTGGAACCCATCTAAACAAGCCACACTTCATTGGCTAACATGCTGTCTACGGTCCACAGAATCTGCAATATAGCTCTTTTTTCGTCTTTCTTTGCAGCATATTACTGTCTGACCTTATATAAAGCTACATCCTCTTCTTAGTAGATTTGTAACTGTCTTGGATGTTCTCTGCTTGTAAATAATCACTCTCAAACCAATAGAATTAAACTAGTTTTAAGTTATATACTTTAGAAGATATATGTATAATACGTATATACACACACATATGAAATGAGAAACATTGAGAGAGGGGGTATTTACTTTAACACATTCTAGTTCTTAAAGGGTAATGATATTTCATTCTAATATTTATTGAGCTTTTAAAACCACAATGATTTTGAATGGATCACAAGCTGACGTCTGTACTAATGCAATCTGTTCATTCTAAGTGGATTATTATATTCTTTATTACTGATTATTCCTAGAAGTACATACAGTTAAATGACTGTATTAAAAGACTGCAAAATAAGTTCAAGTTGTCAAATACACAAGCTAATTCTCATTCTTCATCTTTTTTTTTGGAGAACATGTTTGAACAAGGATTTGCGGCCAGAAAAAACATCAAGGTTGCATCAGAAAACAATAAATGTAAAAAATAAATCTATTTTTTTCTTGATACTTCCAACACTAGGGCTAACTAGCTCCACATTGGAATAATCAAAGAATACTTGCTGTCTGGGTTTTACCAGCTTTTAGGCTCTTGTTGGTGATGTTTAAATAGAATGTAGACCAGACAAACTATAAACCATATAGATTTGCAGCTTCTCTATAAAACCAGACAATCATTTCCTTAACGGATGTAGCTAATGAACTTTTTACGCTATTCAGCTATTCTGTCTTCCTCATTTTACTTGATTAATAATTCTTTTTGTAAATAGGATTAAAAATATATACAAAATTGCAATTTCCCAGAGCCTGAGGTGGCGTCTTCGAAAGTTTGTTTGTTTGGTTTCATCTGCTGTCCAAAAACTTATGGTATACAGTTTTAATCGGGACTATTATGTAAAACATCAGAACATAATTACTTGCTCAAAGCCATTTATAATCAAAGTTATTACATTTATTATAAAACCACCCCTTAACATTTCAGGGATGTATTAGTTGAATATAGAGCATATAAATTGTATTTGATGGAAGGATCCTGAATTGGAAGAGAATGCAAAACACCAAATTAGAGAAGTTGAAATCGACTGGGTGGAATGATTAGTGCGTGTTTTGAGTCTGCGTGATTCCACCTGGCCTCCGTCAGTCTGGCTTTTTGACGGGAACCTGATGGGCCTGCCCCGGGCGGTGTCTGGCTGTGGTACTGGGCCGTGTGGAGGCGATGCGCTGGCGTCCCTCTCGCGTGCGAGCTCATTGTCTGCCGTCACGTGCGTCGGTGCATAGTGTGTGCCGGTGTTTGCTTTTGGCATAATCAGCACTGCTGAGCTCAGGAATTCCAGCTCATCAGAGAGAGAGAGAAAGTTGAACAGTCAGCAAGATGTGAGCAAGACGGTATAGCAGATAACTGTGTTTTTGCAAGAAAATGAGTCAGACAATTAGTGGATTATGACAGTCTAGTGAATTTAATCTAATGTTATCTAGCACCTCTATTTCAATGGCAGAGTTTTGTTTGGAATTTGAATTAGAATCACGGCTTGGAATTGGAACTTTGTCATGTGTAAAGGTGCATAAAGAGGAGGAACGAGTCACTGCTACACCCCTGAGGCAGGAAATGAGCCGAAATGATCCTGTCTTGTGTGACCTTAAACAGCCAAGACACCTAGCTAATTCTGCAACGCTATCTTGATGTGTGTATGGAGGAACAGGGACGAGTGAAGATGTTTTGTTTGGTTTAACCAATTTGCAAAGAGTCTATAACTAAGAAAATGGAAAACCTAAGATGCTAGGAGCAATGGCTCCTTTCATCCCTCTGTATTTTTAATGGCTTATCAACAGATTTATAGTCTTATTTAAAAAGTCTGATTGAGATGAAATGTTAATTTTTTTAATGTAATAATGTTTCTTATGTTGTTGGCTACATAGCCACACACCAAACAGCCATGTAGCATATGTATTTCATGGCGATGAGGTGTTACAGACTACACGGTTTGGCCGACATCTACAAAAGGGAAGAATTCAAAAGAGTACAGTATGTACTGTTCACTCCATATCTTTTGAGTTGGATGATCTATTCAAGTTTTTTCTCTTTTCCTTTGAATAGGCTATTACTTTTCTGTCATTTTACTTTTTCATCATCTTATATAACATATTTTGTTTAACCAGACAGACAAACTTCCTACAGCCTATCCACACAATGACTTTTCTTTGTGGAAATGATATGTAAATGCACAGTACCTCACTTTACACCTCAAAATACTATCCAGGTAATTATGTGGCTTACAGCTCAGTAACTAGCCACTAGTTCCTTTGAAACACAATCTAACTTTTAAACATTTAGGTATCCTTCATTTTCATCGCGTGTAAATTTCCACTTCCCTGCACTGAGACACCGATCACACGGAGGAGACGGAGTTGAGATCTGTTTAGTGGAAAGCTGCGAAATGTTTCGCTGTGGTGGAGGAGCTTTTGGCTCTTTGGGGAAACACTCCATAAAAAGCTGGAGGCTCCCCGTGCAGCCTGCTGCTTGTAAACCCCCGAGGGAGCCATTAGAGAGAGGCCTGCTGGCGGAGGCCGCAGCCAGAGCTGAGAGCGCGTCTCGGTCCGCTTCCAGCAAAGCACAGGAACAGGACAGAGCTTTTTTTTTCTTCCTTTTTTTCCCGGAAGATCGCCGAAGTTTAGAGACTCGGCCTCCTCGGGTTTTTGAAAAAGGTGTCGGACAAAGGTTTTTTAAACTAGTGGGAGGGATCTGAGGATGGAAATGTTGGTTGTTCTACAACTTCACCCCAAATAATTTGTAGTATTGAAATAGTATTTGTAGTATTGTTTGATGGATTGGCTTTAAAACCATCTGTATTGAATAGTGTCATTTTTATAATTACTTAATGGATATTTCTGTCTAATTTATTGTGCCCATTCACTCTTAGAATATGACTTTAATATTGCAATGGTGAAGTGGGTTGCAATTGAGTAATGGTCGGTGAATATGCTCAATATTTTCAACGGTCGGGGTTTTAATTCCTTCCTATTGTCTCTTTCTGCTCCACCAAATATACAGTCAAATCATCCCAAACAATTTGAACATATTTATTCCTTGAATTTCTGCCAGAAAATATAGCTATAGCTATAGCTATTGGATGGAAAACAAAGGCTTCAATTGAAATTACCACCATACCTGATTTAATGTTGACATGCCATCATTGTTTGTGGGCTCACATCAGCTGTTTGTAGCATCTAGTGCTGAAACATTAAAGGGCTTCCAAGGCCTTTTTTTTCTCTTTTTCATTTTACTGCTGTTGAGCAAATTAAAAGTAGACAGGTGGACCTTTTCCTTCCCGGCGGGGGAAGCCGCGGGCTCTCCGTGGTATGCGCCCAATTACAGTGTTTTTCCTTCTCCCCCACGCGCCCCCCTGACCTGCAGGAGTAGCTGCTGCCAAGCCAATGACTCAGGGCGACTTGTTTCCGTGCGTGGTGACAAAGCAACCGTTTATCACTGCGCTTAAAGAGCAAGTCCTTTTTTTTTTCCGTCTCTATGACTGACGATCGACTGTTATCTCTACTGGAAATGTTTTCTTCAAAGCCCCGTCGTTGCTCGGAGCTTGGATTGCATTTGCTTTGAGCACCTTTACTGTCTGTCCAACCCCCATCAGGCTACTTTCTCCTGACCGTGAGCCTATCCTGTTTTTCTCATTACCAGAACAATAAATATCAGAGCACTCAGGGTCTCTGTTATGATATCTTTATCTCGTGTGTGTATATGCAGAAGATGGAGATGCAAACACTGGCTTTTATCTTACCCCCTCAATGCAACAAGTGAAGTAGGTCTTAGGGCTTTATTTGACAATGTTGATTTGTTGCGCAGAGGAGAGAAGGGAGCCTAAGCGAGATGAGTGCTTTTTCGGAACAAAAAACAGAACTGGGTGTCCTCTCATTCAGTCTTTTTTGCTTTCAGTCTCTTTGCTCTTTATTTTCTCTGATCTCCCTCCACCGTCTCCACTGGGTTTACCTTTAACATTTCAAGAAATATCCTTAACTAAAGTAATCTTTTCTTCAGTTTACTTTATTGCTTTTTGTCCTGAGTGTTTTCGTGTCTTTAAAGTTACTCTGCCACCATGTTTTTTGTCTTTTGTGTGTGTTTTTTTTTTTAAACTCGCTCCTTTTATAGATAATCTTGCTAACTGTAATACATTTTCACAGTCTTACCATGAAAGGTGGGTTCACAGATATTGTGCCTGCCAAAGTTTATTGGTTTGGTGCTTTAATGGGAAAAGCGGGATGTCAAATTGACCTATGTGTTTCGTTTCAGATGATAAGCCTGTCCAGGAGGAGATCTGGGTGGTGTGCCAGCATCCGGAGTGTCCTGACCGCCGAAGGGCTTCTAAGGTAAGTCCGCTGAAACTTGAAGCTCGTTCTCCGCAGGAACTAATTTTTACTAGCTGCCATTAAGTCTTAGAGCACCATTTTCTTCCACATTATGGGTAATACTGTCAGACACTTTTGTGGGTCATAGATTAAATAATTAAAACAAATCACATATCCTTCCATGAATTATGATGCAACAGCTCAGCCGCCTATCTTTGGTCTACAGATAAGCCTAGCTTTTTTAAACCATAGCTAAATCCCTCTACTGACCAGTGAGAACTTTAAGATGTGTAAGGCCGTCTAATGCTATTCTAAAAGCAAGGAAGTCCTGTTCCATTAAATTAGACTTGATGTGTTAAGTATGGAGATGCTGATAGGGGAAGTGTGTTTTCTTTGAACCGAACAAAGTTAGCTATTTACAGCTTTTGCACTTAGCTAAGTTAAGCTAACGAGCCTCTAGCTTTTGCCCACTAAGCCTTTTTTTATACAATTACCACTTACAGAAATTTTCTGGCAACCGATCGTGTTGGTGTCACATCCCAATGTTGTTCCTGGTACTTTTCCGTGGCGTTTTGCAATGGTTGGCCCCAGGAAACGCATAATTGTCACTTTCAAGAGAGCGCGAGTTTTAGCCGCAGGAGTCGGATGAACGAACGGCGCAAAAAAAAAAAAAAAACAGTTTTAGTCAACGTTATTCATTTTATGTGGCTTAAAACCAATAAGAAAAAAGACAAAAAGTGAATAATTTGGAATATCCACATTCATTTTCGACATTTAATCAGGACTGGAGTATCTGTAGGTGACCTAGAAGTCTAAATTTGATAAACTTTACACTCTTTCATTTGATTTTTGATTATCAGAAATAACCCAGAATTTAAAAGGATTGTTATTTGGATGACAGGTCCCCAAACATTAACATTGAGGCATTTTTCAGAAATCTTTACAACTTAGCATGTTATTATTTGAAATGCAAATCAAAACCCTTTTAATAATTGCAGCAAATTTAACCAAGTCATTGTCTGACTGAACTAAACCTTAACTGAAAAGATGGGATATTTTAGTTATGAAGAAACAGACACTTATGACAGGGCCTTATGAGAAAACAGCACTTTGGTAGTCCAGCAGTCTGACAGGTGAAGCAAAGTGCTGAAGCTGCTTCTCTTCTTTTAGGTGTAAAAAGGGGTGTGAGTCTTGGGGCTCTGTGTCTGGCCACCAGACTGTGAAACAAATTATTCCTTTGAAGCGTCTGGTTCAGAAGTCCAGGGGAAACCGCCATAGAGTCTGGTTTGTCGGTCAGTCTGGGTTTTTTTTTTTTTTTTTGCTTTGCTTGCTCTGTCTCCTCGCCTGCCTCCTGCCAGCAGAGAGGGGCAATAGACGGACTTTCTCCTTTCAGCCGAGATGCTGTCGCCCGCTGTCTTCTTTTCCAAAAAAAACAATGAAAAAGGAATGTGAATGGACATGTACAGAGAATAAGGTGGTTATATATAGTTGCTCTCCATGGCAACTGTGAATAATGAAGTGGGGAGAGGAAGAAAAAGCACAAGTACTCAACCTGAACTGCCTCGATCCCTGTTCCCCATATTATGCATATACTCTCACCTAAATACTCTTTTTTTCCCTTAAAGACAAAATCCCTGCAGAATCTCCTATACTCTCAATTATACCTCTTGGTTGTTGCATTTGTGTTTCATTGAAGTGCAAATGAGGCAGTCCATTTCCTCCGTAGTCACCGGTGAGCGTGGAGGTTATTATGGAAGAGGATTAGGGAAAGATGTATCTCTCTGCAGAGTGTGACGGACGGCTTGACAGCAGATACAATCCTGCTCCGTTTGTTTACCCACCGTGAGCAAAAATAAACGGCAACCGTTCTCTTTGTGGAATCATGGCGGGATAAAACTTTTAGCTTTTTCCTATCGTGTGTCTGACGGTAACCGGAAATCTTTCGGCTTCTCTGTGCTTCTTGTGTTTCATATGTCTGTTAACTGATTGTGTTTTGATGACATTCCATTCAAACGTTAAAAGAATGTTCTTTAAAAAAAATTTAGAAACCTATAAAAGTGGAAGACTAAAGAAATGTCAAGGCTACAAGCTAAGGATCCAGCAAACAGCTGACATGTGGATGTTCAGTTGATCCAGTCACTAAAACATCAAGATGTTATTTTTAAGAACGTTGGATGGAGCTGGTGAAGCTGATGCATGCCAAATGATAGAAGAGCCTGGACTGATGGTCAGCAGCAACAGGTTGGATGAAGGGAGGAATTCTCCCCAGAGCCTGGACTGTAGCATAATCAAATCAATGTGGAACAGAAGGCAGCCAACATCCAAAGAAGAGCCTTGTGAATAAGAAGAAAAAGTAGAATTCTTCATGAGGACTACTCACAGAAACGAAAAGAAAGCTTGTCTAAAAGGGTTAAGGCTGTGAAAAATAGGCTGCTTTGACTAAATTGACTCTGAACCTCATTAGAATTTTACAAATGTAACTATTTGACTTGGCTTCCTATGCTTTATTTGAGTTGGTTTGCATATCTTTCCACCCTAACCGGATGTGTGTTTCACTTATCAATGCATAGAGAAATATACCAAAGCCGATAAATGTGGAGAAAAAAACAGGAACTACTGAATTTCTGGGGAGCATGTTGGATTATCGGGCTGTAGTTGTTTATACACCAGCTAAAATACGCCTAACTTTTGTTTAGGAACGTTTAGCCCCTCGGACCTGACGCCAAGCAAACCTGGTGGTTTCAGTTGTTTCCTCCAATGAAGATTTCTTATTTACATTTAACTGTGCGTTAATTGATTCTGATTCCAGTGTCATTGCCCAAAAAATGAATTAGCTCATTACCTCTCACAGTAGAATCATGCACCAGGGTTTGCTACATAACACCAGCACTCCACTAGTGCTATTCGTGAAGTTAATCAATTGAGTTGAATTGAGTTATGTCAGTTTCAATATTGTTTCTATTGCGTAAGAATCCTATATTAGTTTTACATTTAAAGTTGGTGTTGTCTTTTGGGGTTCGCTCAAGTTACACGTGTCATCTGTAACAAGCTTTAAACAGCAGGGGGCAATGTCATGGCAACCCCGACCTCCAGGAATCCGTGCTTGTGTGTTCTCCTCGTGAGCTCAGTCATTGTCTGCATTTGCTTGACGGGTAATTTCTGAAAAGAACCGGGACATAAATTTCCCTCGACTTTCACCCGCTCCGCCCACTGAACAGATGTAGGCACATCAGATATTTTTTTTCTCTCCTTTTATTGTTTAAAAAAAAAAAAACTAAAATCCACTTTTAAATTTCTCTTCGACTTTCGAAAAGACTAGTTTCTTTGATATGCTGGCGGCTTGGCACCCGGACACAGAGCAGACAGGCAGACGGTCTTAGGCCGGCCCTGCACAGCATTTAAATCCCCCTTTTATTTCCAGACAGGCCTGGCTTTGAGTCTCCTTCTGCTATATATCAGCTCCCGACAGGACTGCAGCGCTTCTAGTCACAGCATGACGGACTGGGACCTCGCCGGGCTCACCTAGACCATAATTTACCGAAAGCCTCCCAGGTGTCACCCTCTCCTCGTGCTACTGTGGCTCTACACAGTAACACTCATGAGATTTCTGTCAACATTTAAGATGGCCCAACCCTTCTTAACTGGGGGGTTTTGTAATTGTGTTTGTATATTTTGGGTTTCTTCAATTTCAGCGGGATTTACAGGTGTTAAAAGATAACGTCGAATCCAGAGATGGCTCTCATCTAAGCTGGAAGGATTCATTTCATATCGCACCGGTTAACGCTCATTGCTAGTCTGAGCTTGCTAGTCGATATTCCCCCTGATTGCTTACCCCCCCCTCCCTGTTTTTTTCTAACCCAGAGTTCTGTATTTCCTTAGCAGCATCAGCTCCGACAAGACCGGGCAGGATAACTGGAAAGGTGTGGGTTTCTTAGGAAACGAGTTCCTCTGTTTCCAAACAGCTGGGGGCACAGGGATTTCTTCAAGAAAGGGTTTAGCAAAGACGCAGTGGATGAGGAAATGTGTCAATCAGCTGGTTCGCATACTCTGTAAGATTTTTACTTTCGTCCGAGAAAATAAAAGTCAAGAAACTCCATTTAACAGAGGTTGAAAAGGTATGGGAGGTATAGGTTTAGAAAAGCAAATGGATTGAGTTCTAACAAAATATCAGTAAAAACTGTACAAATGAACAAATAGATGAAAATATATATATTTTTTGTTTTTAGTCTATGATTTATTTCAAGAATTACAGCCATCCATGTTTTCCAAAAAGGTCCAGACATCAGAATTTCAGCTACCATGTCCCATACCCATTTTTATAAAATTTTCTGGACACAGTGACATATTAGGTTGACTGAATGGGGGGGTCTTTGTTCTGGACACTTTGGAGGTAAAAGCCAAAGGCTGAGTGCAGAATAGTGTTCTAGAAGAAAGCTAATTTGCTCACATAACCACAGAAAAAACTTTGAGTGACAGCATGAAGCAAACCATCCAAGGGCGGCTGCTTTTGGAACCTCATCATTACCATTTCTAGAAGGAGCTTTTAGTCATTTGACACATCCTATAGAAGTGTGAATAAATGGTGTGCCATTAGTTTATTTCTTTGATTTTATGTTGACCAGGATGATCGAGTAAAAACTAAAATGAAAGGAAGCTAAAACTGCAGTTGCAACCGGCTTTCAGGGAAATTGGCTAAAGAGTGCATTCCAGCCTGGAGGGTTTCTAGAGTTTTATGGTAGGAGCAACACATGAAACTCAAATATCCATAACATAACATATTCATACATTTTTCAAGGTTTCTAAACAAGAAGTCTAAAGGACTGCAAGGTCTACAATATGTGAACATTGCACTAAATATTGAAGAAGATTTGGTCAGTGTCTGCTGACCTGAGTTGCTGCTTTGAAGTCCTTACACCACCTCACCAGCAGAAAATAAACTGGGATACATATCTGCTATTGCAGAGGAGACACTGGTTCTGATTGTCCTCTTGCTCTCCAGAAACTGGCCAGTGTTTGCTTTT